TGCATGATTATAGAATAATGCTCTATAAGGACAGCGTGTGATGAATCTCTGCTGCTCCTGCAAATCCAGGGTTTCCCCCAGAAAACTTGCTAAGCCCGGTGGTGGGGGCATCGAGGCGGTCCACAGGCGATCTATCGTGTTTTTGTATTAAAAGATGTTAAGTTGACAGAAAATATTAAAGTATTACTGTGTAATTATATGTTACAGGAAAACATCTCCAGTGAAATGCTATTAAAACCTGCAACTAGTCTAGAAACAACAAATTTGCACTTCTGTTTAATCCAAATTAAGTCAGCAGCTCCATCAGGCCCCCAGGGCTTCAGGGGCCCCATAAATGCTAATATTTTAAAACAGACCACAGATACATAAATGTAACACTTGTTTATTGAGATTATCAATGCTGTTAAACTTGATTCAATTTCAGCATACATAAATTAAAAGATTTTAAATTGTTTAACATTTAAATACAAGATTTTAAGGAACTGGCAAGTTTACTTTGTAAAACTTCAAAGAACAATATTCATAGTTAGACAGTTTTGTTACCATAGCAAGAATCTGATGCTGTGAGTTTAATCTTTGAATTTACAAATACAATTTAGTAAACTGTGATTGTAACTTATTGCTTTTTAGGCTGGTCAATTAAACTACTCCCTTCTCCCATATTTCACTAAATCTAACACAGAAGCTGTTAGAGGTGCTGATGATTTTAGCAGCTAGAGGGGCCCCTAAGTCAAAGTCTGCGCAGGGCCTCATGCAACCTTGGACCGGCCCTGCACAATGAGTAAATCCGCTGCACTGCGCAGAGATGCGCAACAAACGGGAGTTTTGGCTATAGTAGCTCTTCCATTTCGTGTCTGTTGAGTTTTAATTGTCACAGAAACTATTCTGGTTGGTCGAGTTCATGGGACTCGACCGTGCCTGACGGTCACGAGTTTCTCAGATCTCCGTGCGGCCGGGCGCATTAACTCTAAGTAGACAACGCATTTGATATGGTTTGATGCATCGTGTAACCGGAAAAATAATAATAAAATAGTATAAAATCAGCGTGATGCGTGACTCCGAGGAGAGCGCGAAAGCTCCTCACCGGGCTGAACCTGCATGATGAGGTTAGCGCTGCTCCTTATCAACAAACTCTCCGGCCAACCGGGACCACAGACATAAACTTTACAGGGAAGACAGACACAGAGCCACACGCTGGGCAGCGTGTTGAGATGTAAACGCCGCATATAATTGTTCGTTCACAAAGATAAATCATTCTCACCGCTCCACAACGCGCCTCTGAATTCGCTACCAGTTATTCCTGCGGTTCACATTGAGCTGCGCAACCAGAGCTAACGCGGCGGGTTTTAAACTCTTACCTAGAGTTCTCCAAAGGATCATAATTCCTCACAGTAAGTTGATGTAAATATCCATACAGATCAGCCTGTGTCCAGTTTCAGTGGAAGGAGGCGCGTGCGATCCCGCTGAGGTAAAGCAGTGGCAGAGCGCGAGGCAAAGCGCAGAGGCGCCAGCGGTGTGATTGGTCCGCGCGCTGTCGGGTTTAAATGCATAAACTATAAACCTATCTATTATAAACCTATCCTTAAGGATAAATCTGCTCTGCTAGTGAAATGCTCAGGGAAACGGAGACGCTTGCACCCTGGCATTAAAAAAAAAAAAAAAAAGTGATTTTTTTTTATTTTTTCTATTTATTTTCCTCGAAACATAAACAAGCAACGCTTAGCCTGGTGGCGAGGCCAGTAAAGCATGGCGGGCCGCCAGGCTTATATTACACTGGGGGAAACCCTGGTATTGTAATGCACCAGTCAGTATTTGTCCAGTGATCAGCTCTGATTGGTGATTAGCGGTCATAAGTAAATGCATCAAAACAAAAATTGCCACCATTCTTAAAACATATTAACCAAGTTTTAAACATTATTTTAAAAACAATTTTTTGGAATAATTATGCAAAACCTTCCAGATGAGATTATTTTATTAAAGAAAGGGTGCTAAATGAAAAAACAAGCATTAAACAATCAATAATTAAAATCTTTAAAAGCACAAATGACAGTTGCTGTTGGACTCGGCATGTTTGTTTTTGTTTTTCTGATTCCAGTCTTTATTTTCAGGTTTCTAATCATTTTAACTTCATAGTAAAATATTTTGAAAAAAATAAATAAATCAGCACGGACACTGGTGGGCCATATCTTTACATATACCACGAACAAAACATCTCATCACAATTTAGTGTCTTGTATTAATAATAATAAATTTTAAATGTTTTTAAACCTCAATGGTTGATTATTTGGTTGAGATTGTTACTTTTATTGTTCTAAGTGTTTTATTTATTGTTGGTTGAGGGCAATAATACGTGTTAAAAACTGGATTAGCTGGAGCCGTGTCAATAGAGGCTTCAAGTCATGTGACTTGGACTCGAGTCACACATTGAATGACTTATTGACTTACCAGAATTGATTTATCAGAATCAATTAGATTTGTTAACAACTACAGACCATGTCTGATTAAATAAGCTTGATCACATATTTCCTGTTCATACGGTTGTTATACATAATTTGAGTTATTTTAATAGTTCGATGTTACTCAAATGCTACTACTGTTGTAGTTGGTTAACATGGTTATAATTTTTGTAGAAATCAGATTTTCTTAAACATTGCCATCATTGATCAATTAATTAATAATTTTCTAAATTTATTGGATGTTTTCATTATTTTGGTTAATATGTACAGTAAAAAGCAACAACATCTCTGAATTTCAAATGATTCTGAAGTTCATTTATTTTTGCTAGTTCTAGCAAACAAAATAACCCCTTTTCAATTCATTGCAAAAAGACTCAATTATTGTTTCTTTGATTAAATTACATAATTGATCAAATAACTTGTTAAAAACCTTAAATGAAAAGTTTAGGACTTGCACTACAATGACTTGGTCCCACCTCTGTTTCTTTAACTGGTGTTTCTAAGCATCTAGTGAAAGCAGTGAAACATTTGTCTCAAAAAAGACTGTCTTTGCAATACATTCACCAAACTATTGTGATTAAAACTTCAAATTCATACTTCCCATGCCTGACACAACTTGTATTTAGCATCTTAAGTGTGTTTGGAGATTTATCCCAAGGAGTCATTTTCCTTTATCCCCAACTGGGCTCATTACAGCTGGAAGACATTTAAGTCTAAATCTTCACTGATGGTTCATATGCAACTATTGCATCGTATAGCTGAGTAGAGATAAGCAGGTTTATTCATTTATAAAGCAGTAATAACACACAACACGCTTTACTGGACTTTAAAGGAAAGATTAGAAAGAAAGTAAAGCATGAAATGGAAGCTGTTTGGATCATTTCTGATTACTTAATTGCAAGATATTATAACAAGATTCTTCTGTAGCTAAAGTTGTAAGTCTGTGCAATTTTAGTAATGATGACAATGCCAAAAATCCCACATCTTACCAAGTACTTTTGGTCTAGTTTCTTGGTAGACTTGAAATAAGACTTACAAGTAACTTTTCAGCATGGTATAAGTTCTTGTTGAAGTCAATAATTATTTATATTGATAAAAAAGCTCTAGTTCACAGACAGATAATTTCACTCTTTTTCATTTGACGCGTTGTGTTGCAGCCGGGCATGATGGGAAACCCAGGCGGCTCGTTTGGAGGTCCATATCAAGGAGGTCAGGGTCTGGGAGCTGCAGGGCTGGGCCCTCAGCTCCAGAACAAAGGGCCCATGGCCAACAACCTGGGCCAGTTCAATGTGGACAAGAAGACCCAGCCAATGCAAGCAATGGGTGCCATGGTAAGGCATGCACTCAGATTTAATTATGACGAGCCGAACACAGTAATTGTTTTTACCGCTTCTTCAGGATACTTTTTATGACCCACAATTTTTTTCCTCCCCTCTGCTGCTTTCTTTTTTTTGGGCCACTGAGCAGTCGCAGACAGGTGTGGGTGGTCCAACAGGCGCACCGGTGGGAGGAGCACCAGGGATGGTCCCCAGCGCGCAGGCGGGCCTAGCAGGATACAACTCGCAGGCCTCCGCGGCGTCGGCTGCGGCCGGAGCGCCACCCACAGCGGACCCTGAGAAGCGCAAGCTGATCCAGCAGCAGCTGGTCCTCCTGCTTCATGCGCACAAGTGCCAGCGGCGGGAGCAGGCCAACGGAGAGGTCCGGCAGTGCAACCTGCCCCACTGTCGCACCATGAAGAACGTCCTGAACCACATGACCCACTGCCAGTCCGGCAAGTCCTGTCAAGGTAAGTCACAGCGCTGTAAACATGTTACCTTATGTCAGACAGATTTAATATGATGACTGCGCTTCTCTGGAAGTATGTTTGACTCTACTGAAGTTCAGCTCTTATAGCTGCAGTATGTGACTTTTGTGAGGAAAAAAAATCTATTTTTTCCATATTTGGTTAAACTAACATTATATCCTGACAATGTGGTTTGAGACCCCCGAACTACTATTGCTGTCAGAGCCAGGAGGAGGGGCTTAGAGCTGCCAATCAACCTCGTATATGCACTACTAAATGTGCTAATGGCAGAGAAACAACTTGCCATTCCAGGAAATGCTAACTAGTCTTAGCATTCATGGCAGACTCTGCTGTTGGGATTCAGTTTTAGCGTAGCAGAGAGAAAGGTGGGATGGTGTGAGTAGCGTGTGCATGAGCATGATTGACAGTGCTAAGATACTGGGTGCTAATAAATCGGTTCTGATTTCCTTAATATTGGGCGATCGGCTGATTCTGTTTCTGATCTTATCTACGTCTGCAAAGGTCTGAGAATCAGCCGCTGCTCCCTTTTGGTCTGCTGGAGAGGACTGACAGAGAGGTCACGTCTTCACATTAATGGTTTACTGAAATCAGCCTTCTTTTGTCAAATTAGACAGTTTTACACAAAGTATCAGTATTGGTCAAAATCAGTATTGGGCATCTCAGGTTTTGTTAAAGATTGATGATCGGTCAGAAAACTGAAATCAGTGCACAGATAATTTTATACCGTCCTTTATGTGCTCATATTTCATTTTCACATTTCGTTGCTCTGTCTCCCCCCATCCCTCCTTTCCCTTTGCAGTGGCTCACTGTGCGTCCTCCAGACAGATCATCTCCCACTGGAAGAACTGCACACGCCACGACTGTCCTGTTTGTCTGCCACTGAAGAACGCCGGGGACAAGAGGAACCCGCAGTGTGAGTGTCTGTATCTGACCAAACCGACACATCTACTCTGTTTCTTATTTTGTTCCCAAATACTGTACATCTGCTTTCTTTCTATTATTTTATTTGCTTTAACTACTCAAGTAGTTTGTAGAGATTTTAATGCTAGGATTGTCCAGGTTTGCTTGGTAATGGATTAGAACCAACAACCTCATTTTCACCTAATTTGTAAACTCTGCTCCTTTAGAAGCTTTTGTATAGATGTTTTAAATGTATTTGTTGAAATCACTGTTGTTGATACTTTCGAGCAGAGCAAATAAATGATCACTGATCCAATATTATTCTTGCTGTCCTCACAGCTCTGCTGAGTGCAGCAGGTTCAGGACTGGGAAGCTCGCTGGGTTCGGTCCCCGGTGGTCAGCCTAGTACTCCCAACATCAACCCACCCAGCCAGATTGACCCCAGTTCAATAGAGAGAGCCTATGCCGCGCTGGGGCTCACCTACCAGGGAAACCAGATCCAGGGTCAGACCGGTCCACCCAACATGGCCAGCCAAGGTCAGGCCGGCATGAGGCCTCTGAACCCAATGAGTAAGTTAAAGGAAACAAGCTAAGCTAACAGAAAACATTCAAGTAATTCAAGAATAATCTGTTCTCTACCTGGTTACAGGGCTGGGCAATTATCGCATCGTTCATAATTTATCATGATAAATTTATCAGAAGAATTTATATTATGGTTATAATAAATTCCAATTAATGATTTTTTTAAAAAAAACTGTCCTTCTTGTCAGTTTTACTATTTTCTCCACTGAAATGAAAATGTCAATAAATATCAGTAAATCTGAAAATAATGTGCGATACATGTCACTTTTTATGTCACTAAAAAACATGCTGCACCATCATCCTCAAACTACTTCCTGTTATCATCTTCATGGTTTGCACCAACATCTGGTTGTTGGTCATGTGACTTGCGACATTAGTGTTTCTGTCACGGTTCGGAAAATAAACCAATTTTCATACAGCCAATAACACCACCTCACCCTAACGCCAACACGTTTTATGAAAAACTGAATTATTTTCAACATTTCTATTAAGCAAATTTATTTTTGAAATGTCAAATTGTGTAATTATATGTACCATGAAAACACACTTAATGTCACAGTCGTACAGTTACCTAAAAATGAGGAAATAAATACTTGTTATCATCACTTTTATCATTATCGCAATAGTACGGCAAAATATTGCGATAAAACTTTAATTTCGTATTGCCCACCCTGACCTGGTTAATGCCTTATGGCCAAAATCTTCCAGATAATTTAAATGAAACCAAATTATTTATAGCAAAACTGCAGACAAAAGTCACCCAATAAGAGAGCGTTGTATTAGGAAAGAAGCAATGTCATCAGAGTTGTAGAGTTGTATATAAGGCCGATCTCTTATCTGTGTAGGTGTGAATCCGATCGGGGTCAACGGCGGTGTGGGTGGCCCCCCTCAGAGTCAACAAGCCAGTTTACTACAGGACACCATGATGCATCTTAATGTGAATAACCAAAGGTAAGAGATGGCAACACGATGTGGGATGAGCAGTTTGACTTAAAATATCAAGAAATCAGTTTAATGATAGTCTATTTTTATTTATTTATTTTTTTTATTATTTCCAGTTTGATGAATGATGCTGTAGGAGTCGGATCCATGCCCACAGCAGCCCCTCCCTCCGCCACAGGGATAAAGAAAGGCTGGCATGAAGACATTACACAGGACCTCCGGAACCACCTGGTGCACAAGCTGTAAGCGTCACCAGCAAAACACAACACACTTCGACTTGTGTCACCACTTCGAAAAGCCTTTGTGCTTTTATCGTGACAAAATGTAGAAAGCTCAAACATCAACTTATTTTATTAGGATTTCATGTAAATACTCCAAATTAAAGTGACACATCACTGTGGAGTGGATTGGAATTGACGCCTGATTTTCTGAGTTGTTTGGTAAGAAAAATCTGCTAAGTGTGGCATTTATTTGAATTCAACTCCCTGAGTCAACACTTCATGGAAGCGCCTTTCAGTGTCTCCAGCAGCTCTGCACGCTATAGTTTTATTTCATTTATTTAGTTTTTGCTCTTTTTAGTATGTGAGTAACTTTCTTTTCAAAGCCTTTCCACAGTTTCTCATCTGGATTCAAGTTTTTACTTTGACTAGGATATTTAAACACATGATTGTGCTGTAATCTAAACGCATCAATTTCCTTCCACATGACAACTATCCACAGCTTTCCAGCAGTCAGTCACAGACTCTGCTGTTCCCTCGTCCCTTAGCCTCTTCCCGTCTACTTGTTCACTCACAGTGTCCAGGCCATCTTTCCGACTCCGGATCCCGCTGCGCTGAAGGACCGTCGGATGGAGAACCTGGTGGCCTACGCCCGGAAAGTAGAGGGAGACATGTACGAGTCAGCCAACAGCAGAGTAAGCTGCTCTCTTTTCAACCTCACTAATTACACAAAAAATATATAAGTGGAATATGCAGAATGTAGTAACGTTTTCAGTCTTCTTCATTGGTGGTTCTGCCATTCTGATTTTTTTGTCTTTTGTTTTTTTCCAGGCTGAGTACTATCACCTTTTGGCGGAAAAGATCTATAAGATCCAGAAGGAGCTGGAGGAGAAAAGACGGACTCGGCTGCAGAAACAGGGCACAGCCGGGCCCGGCATGGGTCAGTCACCAACCGGGCTGCCTCAGAGTAAGTGGACATCTAAATACTCATGCCAGTGCCTAACTTTTTATTTGTGTTTTTATGCGTTGCGTAGAAATCTTGGGTTTGCAGTGTAAATAACTTGTCATCACATCTGTTTTCCTTTTTCTAACTTCTGCAACCTGCGCCTCAGTAAATCAATTCTTCTGCAGTTCTACTTTCTCCCATTGTGCACTTATGGGTGTCGTTGTCTGTCTCCTTTCTGCAGACGGCCCTCTCTCTGATCCATCCATGGTGCGGCCGCCTGGACCCAATCAGATCAACAGGATGCAAAACCCAGGTAGAGAACATCCTCCAAAGATTGTTTTATCTGCTCAGATATGATTTATTTGCACAAAAAAGTTCAATTTTTCATTAAAAATTTTTGTTCCTAATATTATGTGGGTGTTTTTGTCAGGTATGAACCAGTTCAATCAGATGGGGATGCCAGCTATGGGTCAGAGGTCAACACCGCCTCTTACTTTGGGAGCATCTGGCAGCCAGGTCAGCGCTTTGCTCTGTTTTGTTTTAAGCTACAGCTAATAGAGCCATTTATTGTTTCTTGGACAAATCTGCTTCCATAGTGATGACTTTTTAATAAAAGAGAATTTAAAAAAAATGTTTTACACATTTATTCATTTAGCTTGGGATGGTTGGGCCCAGAGTGGGACAGCCCAACGTCAACACAATGCCGACCCAGTATCTGTCCCATGGACAGTTTCCTGGGTCAGGACCTGGAGTTGGAGCACCTCAGCCTGGACTGGCCCAGCCTGGAGCCCAGGGCGGGATGGCACAGGTAGGAAGACTCGCATTCCTTTAATTCTTCCCTGTTGGCCATGTTTGTTTACCCTGAACTCATGTTTGGTCTTGACATTATTGAGAGGTTTTGTGACATTCTCTGTCTGAAATCTGAATGGTGGTGAGTGAAATCAGTTTCACAGGTGTGTTACTCCTGTCTTGTGGATCAGCACCAAACACTGTACAAGCAAACCTGCAATAGCTAAGATTTTTTTTTATCATGTTCGTGGTCTCTTAGGTTTTTAAAATCAGACGCTTGAACCAGACCTTAGCTTTTCTCTGAGTATATTCTGAGGATATGACAAACATTTTCAGTAATCTCTTCATTAAATAAAAAAATCATCACCTCTTTCTTTCCCAAAGATGTTTTAGGGAACAAAAAACTTTTGGCAAAAAAAACAAAACAAAAACAGACATATACTATATGTAGTTCATTTTTTTAGCAAGACTTTTCTGTCAGGCAAAATTTTGAGTCGCATTCAGACATCTTCATTCTGTTCTGTTACTTGAGCCGACTGAGGCTACCGCTAGTTAGCTTTTTTGCGTCCATAATGGGTGCAGATTATTGGCATACTTGTCTTTGCCATTGGCTCATTTCTGTTGCCAGCTCATATGACGCTCCATTGACACCATAGTATAAAATATGTTATTTTCTTTTGTACATTACAGCTTTACATTTAAATTTCATTTATTGTGGTCTTAAAAAAATCTTAAAAAGTTTTAAATTTGAGTTGGTGAACCTTGTCCTCCTCCTTCTCCCTGTAGGCCCAGATGGGAACTCCTCCGTCTCTCTCCGTGGCCAGTCCTCTGGCACAGCCCGGTTCAGTGGGCGGTCCTAGTGGGGTCCCCAATGTGGGGCCCATGGGTCCCCAGAGCGTGGGAGGCGGCGGTCCCAACGCATCTCTTGGCACCCCCGCGTCATCAATCACCTCATCTAACTCCAACCAGCAAGCCAACTCCATCCCCCACCTGGGACCCATGCGTGGCAGCTCCCCCTCCCCGGCACATAGTCGCTCCCCCACGCCCCACCAGACGCCTCCCAGACTAGCGGGCTCCCAGACACCGCAGCCACACACCCCCAACGCTCCTCAGCTGGCAGGGCCCCCACTGGGCCTTCAGCAGAATCAGCTCAGCCAGGGCCCTGGCTCCAACAAGCCCCTCCAGCAGCAACACATGGGGCCCTCAGGTTCAACCACTCCATCTCATCCCGGACTAGCCCCCAGCTCCACGCCGCACGCCGCTCAGCTGCCCCGCACTCCGGTTAGTTAGCACTGCAGCTCCTCCTGTTCTAAAGGAAATAATTTGATCTTATTAATTTATGTTTTATTTGGAAGACGTTTCTCTTTTTATTTCAAGTATAAATCTATTCAGTGCAATCATAAAGCAGGGCTGGGTCATTAATCAATTTCATTGAGTTTTTTTGGCTTTTATAGATTGAATTTTTGGAAAATCAGGATTTGTTTTTCACAAATATGAAAAAAAATCTGGTTTCTGTAGTGGAGTCTTGGGGAAAAATAGTCCACTTTTTGTAAATATTTTCTGTTAATTTAATCCAATTAACTGGATTTTGTCTGTAATGGTCCCTGCAGCTGTCCCAGAAGGGCTCGTTCCCAGCAGACAGCCAGGCCATGACGCCGGCCTCCGTCGGCAGTCTGGACGCCGCGTCCCAGCAGCCGCCGCTGGACGCCTCCGCCACCAAGATGGAGCCCAAGGCGGAGGTGAAGCACGAGGACGAGGAGGAGGAGAGTGACACGGGCAGTTGTTCCAAAGGGGGGAAGCTGAGCAACCACAAAGCGGAGGAAAAACCCGTCAAACTAGAACCTAAGAAGGAGGAGTGTTCCGGAGACGGAGGGAAAGGAGTCCCCATGGACACGTCCACGCCGTCAGCGGCCATGAAGACCGAAGAGAAGAAGCCAGAGGTGAAGAAGGAGGTGAAAGAGGAGGAGAGTTCAGAGGCAGCTGCTCCACAGGCTCCTGTGAAGAAGAAGAGTAAGGCGTTGTTTTACAGAGCTGAAAATACTACGTCACAGACTAGTTGTGTTAAATTTAACTTTTTTCCCTCTCCATAATTTCATAGTCTTCAAACCGGAGGAGCTTCGTCAGGCCCTCATGCCCACACTGGAGTCTCTCTACCGACAAGACCCAGAATCCCTCCCGTTCAGAATGCCTGTGGACCCAAAGCTGCTCTGCATACCTGTACGTATTCTGAGTCAGAACGATGTCCTCAACCCGTTCTCTCTCATAGGTACCATAATTACCAGTTCCATGTTCTTACTATAGCTGGGTTTCCTCTAGAGGTGGGCAGATCCATCCGAAATATCAAAGACATCAATACCAAGTTGGTATCAGTATTAGCACTAGCATGCTAAGATAAAGTTCCACCTTGAAATTTTATTTGGGCTTTGTATTCTCAACTCTACCTCAGAAATAATTTTGTTTTGGCTTTCTCACATGATAATTTTTCCACTTTGTTTAGGAAAAATGCAAAAAAAATCATGTTATGTGATTCAATTATCTTGTAGATACATATATAAACTTTGTCCAAATTATGTCCCATGTTTGAACAAAATAATTCAAAGAAAAAAAGAAACAACAAAAACAGCAGTAGTTTGATTATATATCAAAATCAAACTTGAATAAAAGGTATTGGTATCAGTATCGATATCAGCAATACAGGCCCTGTATTTACTTGGTATTGGATTGATATCTAAATATGCAGTATTGCACACCTTTTTTTCCCCCAGTAACCACACAGCTGCACTAATTGGAATCACAGGAATTAATTTGCTTAATAGAAACACAGCAGTTTCGAAAAGAGTCAAAAGTTTTGGCGCTATCATGAGGTGAGTTGTTTTTGGCTGTATCAAAATGAGTGTCTTTCACGAAGATACAATAGAAACACATTTTTTGCATCACAAGTCAAAAACCAGATTTCACTGCTGGTGAAGAAGACAGAACAATAATAAGTAGTTGGAGGATCATGTTTCTTAATGACTTATCACATGAACAAATTTATTCACATGTGATTTTAATTGTGTTTCTTATTTAAAGGAAACACAGTGGTTGAGAAATTGTGTATTTTTGTAATTAGTGGAATATCGACAAAGTTTTGCAAATGTTTGTAATGGAAACAAAGTTTCTGTCTGGACTGTGTCAGCATGTGTCTAATGACATTTCCTCTGAAACATTTGGACAGGACTACTTTGACATAGTGAAGAACCCGATGGACCTGTCGACTATCAAGAGAAAGTTAGACACAGGTGAGCGTCTGTCTGCTGGAATACACACTTTATCATACTTACCTTATCAGAGGATTTCTACACCTTTAACCACAAATTTCACTATATTTATTTTCCATCCCCCCCAATTCCATTTTTTTCCACTTGAATTTTTCAGAATTCCTTTTTTTTTTTTTTTTTTTTTTTTTTTAATTTTTTTCCATTTTTTTTCCCCAAAAAGGGTTTTTTTTAAAAAATGGGGAAAAAAAAAAAGGGAAAA